ATGAAACGTGCGGTTTGGGAAGCTTTCAAGAGCATCGAGGATGTAGTGAAGAGAACAAAGAACACCCGACTCCGCGCCCACCTTTTCGACTCAAGGGCACCTTGTGCCCTAACGCATGCTTCAGAAACCTGGTCGCTGCGTAAGCAGGTTGAAAAGTCACTCAGAGTTATCGAAAGCGCAGTCGAAAGGACGATGCTAGAAGTATCTCGTTTCACACAAGGAAGGGATGAGATCCGAAGATTCGATATGCGTCAACGATCAAAAATCAAAGGTGCCGTCCTGTATTCCAAACAGTCGAAGATAAAATGTGCTCGACACGTAATGCATATGAACGACAACCGATGGACAAGAGCCGTTAGTGACTGGATTCCTCGGGAAGTAAAACGTACTGCAGGAAGACCACTGACCCGATGGTCAGAGTTCTTCACAAAGAGCCTTGAAAAAAGATATGATGCTCAATGAGTCCCTAGAGCGAGCAAAACCCACTGAGCTACTCTTCCACGCGACAGGGAAAAATGGAAGATTTACTGGCGCCCGCTCGAGTCACTCGACGATCAACGGGACTACAGGTGACATATTACAGGTGAATCCACAGTTACCAGGCTCTGAGGAAGACGAAATGCTTGTTATCAAACTATGGAGCGGCGCAGTGGCAAATGATGTAATCTATCATGAAGGAAGATGCTGGCTCGACCAACTTCGCAACACACCCACCAATTCACCACGGGAAAAGCTTAGCTCGGCGCGCACTAAGATCGCAACTGGAATCGTTTCGACCAGCATTCTATAATATTAAAAAGCGGACGAATTGCTCAAACAGCAGCAGTATCATTATCCAATGTGTTCAAAAACCTCACTGCATGGCGGGCACGAAAAAAACGAGTCGAATGCAAGAGGTCGTGGAATCCACACTGTAGATAATACGACGCTTCATGTAAAAAACATTAAAAATTACCAAAGTATTGCTGGCATATCTTTCCTTTAATGACTCCTCACTTGCATTGGTCAAGGTTATCAATTATGTATTATCATAAGTTTTTTAGGAACTTGAACTGCAAGAACTTTCCTCAATCTAGTCCTGGAAAAGTTTCTCACCAAGTGCTGCTGAACTTCGCAACTTTTTCTGCACTGTCCTTATTTTCTGAGCGCCTTTCATGAAACAATTTTATTAAATAATCTTACAAAGCGAAATGACACCCAATTCCCATGTTTTTAACTCATTCTAATCTTCTTTAGGAGATATTTATGCACAGAGGTAATGACTGACAGGAATAAGAGTATTAAGGATCCTTTGTAACTTCATTACACTGCATTATTAAGTGCTACTAGCAAATCCTAAACATAAAAAATTTGATAAAAATGAAGATTTCTAGGTGGAACCTGTAAAAACACGCGTGGGGAACGAAAGAAAATATGTTGGTTGTTATGCGGATTTTACACTAAACAAAAAGACTTAGGTGCAAATGGGCTTACTGGGAAGCAAATTGAAAATGGCCTAAAGCCGCTTCAAATAGATAAGCTTCATTTCCACCTCTAAATCTCGAAAAACTATTCTGAATATTTCTTTATAAGGAAAAGTCAAGGGACGCGTGTGGCACAGTGGTTGGAGGCGCCACTGCGAGACACACGTGGAACCGATCTCTGCGCTCATGGACCACCAACCCTTTCCTCCGGGGTGGGCATATTGGTACCAGATTTGTCTGGGAGGATAGCAGCACTGACATGATACATCGAAAGGCCACCGCGAGCCATTGTAATGGCCAGATATGCATTCAATCACCTCCAACGGTACTTAATGAAGTCGGATGCGTGGGGCATCTCTCAGGGATTGATCAACGCCGAGAGCCTTATCCTTTGTATCCTTTAAGGAAAAGTCAATAAGAATATTAGACTTCATCAGAAAAGTGTTACGGTGTTCTCGCTTGCTCATCGAGCGACCAGCAAAGCTTCCTTCTGTTGTGGTGGGAACGATAAGAGGCTTAGCTGATGCTCGCTTGAATCATTATCATCGGTTAAACTAGCGTGTGGAGATGATACAGATAAAAATACTAACAATTATTCATTTACAACTAGTATACAAAACTTGTGTAAGGGTTAGTGACATTCAGGAAGCACATATTGATCGAATAGATATTACACAGGTAACATTATGACCTAATATTATCTATATTTTTAAAGCACACCTTTAAATATAGTGAACTTTATTGCCAAGTCGTTACTAGGACACGGTGGACCATCTGAATCGAATTCAATGCGCACTTGCGAAGAGACAACTGTGCCTCGCCGCTTTAGACATGCATATCTCAGTTTATAGTGAATTTTATTGAAATTATTGAAGCAAGAATCATTAGAATCTATAGATCTTTGATGCCACGATGAATTTTGAAAACCAAACTTCGTTTTCACCTTTCTTCTGAAGAACTTAATTTTAAGTGAATCTAGAACTAAAATGGCCTTCCAAAAAGGAGCCTATTTTTAAAGCGATAGATCTACGTCTTTTCAATAAAATCGTGAACTATATAAATTCCCAAATACAGCAAATATCAAAAATAACTGGGAGTAGTGGAAAAACTAGCTCCGCTCATTAATCTCTTAAGGTAGGTTTGGTGCAGTCGTTATAAATAAATGGTTTTTCAACAAAGTCGGCAAATTGCCATCGTTGCAGGGAAATCAATAAACAATCGTTGGCGAATTACATATTACGGTACTGAGTCGGTTTCTTAGTTTCGTCGGCCACGTTGCTCAACCTAAAAGAATCTCTCGCTGATCTAAGAATCACAGACAACAATAAGGAAATATTTCAAGAAAGACAACTGTCTTCCAATCGTATAAGAATAGAGAACCAATAAAGGTATATGGAAATGCCATACACCGTTTATATAATATTATCACAGTTTAAGATTCTATGTCTCTTTTAGAGGGTGTGTGTAGCAAACTGGTTAGAAGCGCTCCGTAATACACAGGAATTTGATGGTTCGACCCAGCATCTCGGATAAAGCTATTTGTCCGTTTTTCCGAAGTCGGCAAATTGATAGCAGAGTTGTCGGGAGAATAGCAGAAGCGATTCATCGGTAGGCTTCAGCAATTCTATATGCGGAACACACAATCAATTATCCTACAATGCTGGAATTGGAATCCAATGAGCACAGCGAATCTCTTGGAATCTGATCAACTCAAGCTCTTTATCGTTTCCACTTTATACTTTATCACCTTTAAAACAGATTATGGTGTGGCTACGGTAATTGTGCAGCACTTACGGTTTTTTTTCGACCACACTGATGTCTCGAAATTGTCCTTCACCTTCGTCAATAATCATCTGAAATCGAGGATAATAGAATGGTCTCAAAAATTTAGGCTGAAAGTGAACGCCAAACGACTATGTCTAAACATGCATGGTAACGCCGCTGGAGACGGATTCATGAACGATTTCTGCATTACACAAAACAACACATACTGTAGCAAAAATATATCCCAGCCACATTCAAGCAAACTTTTCGTTGTCACATGAAATCGTTTGAAGCACGCCAGTCATTTCTGCTAGTTTTGGAAAAAATGCCATGTTTTACAGTATTGTATACAGTCAATTAACGGTGATTCTGTAAGATATTCTTCACGGGACCATGTCAAAATGTGCTTTATCTTATAGATTCTTTCCTACTTTGATCGATTCGACATTTCCAGTTATAATAAAAAACGACAGTATCAGCGACTAAAGTTCATGAACCCGTGCCGCCGTGCTATGGTTGAAGGAGGGCACTGAAGTTAGAGAAAAGCTCTAATTAAATAGCAATGTCATAGTGTTTTTCACGCCCGTGAACCTAAACAGTAACGACGTCATGGGTGTCACTTCAATAGGTAATCGGCTAATTATTTTAATTAGTGGTGTTTTAACGTGAAATACTTCTAACATCTATATTTAAACGAAATCTCAACGACGTACAGCAGCTGAAGTTCTTAAGCGATATCTAGATCCTCTGACTAAGCACTTATGTGTCTAATCTTCACATCGCTTTTTGCTTTTTCTTCAAAGAGGAGTGCATGGAATGTGTTTCTTTTGGTTAAATCCACGCCAAGGTTGCTTTGTGCTGAAGCAACCATATCTTGGATAATAGAGCGCATCTACATGGAAGACAATTCGACTCGTTAGACAATCCTTGAGCAGTAGGTCGACCAATCTCAGGGTTCTCCATCAACACAAGAGTGGCTTCCATCTTAAGAGAAAACGAGTCGTAAGGCAATAAAACCCCACTCTGATTCACAAAAGCCGGTAACTCTCTAAAGTAGCGACATGCGAGCGTCCACGGCTACTTGGGAAAACCGCTCTTGGGCAGCAGTATGTCAGCGAGAAACAGATTTTCACAGGTCTTCAGACTGATGTCAAATAAACACCCGAATCCGACAAACCATATGGACGACTATCACAAGATAGCAAAGGCACTGGAAAAAGTATTTAGATCTGGCAGGACTGGTTTTCTTAGTCGTTAAGTGCTTGAGTAATGAGGATAAACTTACCATTTACAGTTCTCGGGTAGGCAAGGAATTATTGGGGTTTAGCCCTACATTTTTCTCCAGTCAACTTTCTCTGAACGCAACTAAATTTTATATTGGTCATTAGGCTGTAGAGTAAAAAGAAGGCTTTTCAATAATTTGTAAAAAAAAGTTTTGCATGAAGAAATACACATGACACTGCTTCAAACGAAAAATCATTCCTATAGTTCTAAATTATGGTTTCACACAAAATGTTTACCGACTGTCCCTTCTTCCAAAGCAGTTCCAGACTCTCGGAGGGCTTTAAAAAATAAAAACAGAAATAGCAACGAAAAAAAACGTTTTTTAAGAAGGCAACACGATATGTTCTAATGCAATCAACAGTGTTGTCTTTTCACCACTAAGCTTGACATACACAACAGAAAGTACATAAGCCACAAAGACTAATATATATCATCCTTCGAACTCTTCTAACCAATTACGAGGTTTGGGCTTAATTCGAAGCGTTAAACCTAAGTCGTTCTCCCACAAATGTGGTCTGAATATTTAGAACTAAGCTGAAGTAAGGATGTCACCTTATGAATGTAGGTGGTTTCAGGTTCGTCTGGTATATGGAATCCAATGAAGAATTCGTATATCCATGCACCGACTAGTGCACCAATCATTGGGCACACGATTGGTACCCAAAACCATTTGTAGGAGCGGTAGCTTAATAAGTTTGCTTCGAAGAAAAACACTTAATACAATTGAAGAGTAATGGTGACACAAAATTCGCTTTATTCGACTGAAAAAAGATGATTTTGCAATGACAAGTGCATAGCAAGTACGCATGACCTTAAGTAAGGTATTTAAGAACACCAAGGTTCGTATCCTATAATGTAAGTATTCCTAGCGTCATATGCCTTTCTTAATTGCTTCTCAATGCCCTATCAACAGTTTACCGCCTTACTGTGCCTAGGAGATAATTAGGATTTCACATCCCATTACCGTCCCCTAAGGCCAGAAGCTCGATATTTTCATCTAGAAGCTCAGCGAAGAGTAAATGAACCATTAGCGACATGGATACCTTTCAGTTTTATTTGTTTAGTTTATAATAAATTTTAAGCAAGTTTACCTGAATACCCTCCATCCGTAACCAGCACATAATGTAAATAGTCGTGGACCGAAATCACGAGCTGGATTAATTGCATATCCTGGAATTAAAACTAAATAATGCTTGGACTTTACTGCTGTCTATCTCTTTTCATAGCACGATTTTGCATAACACGATGATGAGATATTTGCAAAACTCAGAACCCCAGGCCAGTCACGATTACCCTTTCTAAGGGGTTCACGTGTTACCCCATAACACCACCAAGGCCTTTTCTTAGCTCTTCTCTCACCCTGTTTTTACACTAACGGTGCCATAGCTATCATCCGTCAATGGCAATGACTTGGAAAGCACAAATCGTAACTGAATCCAGTTGAACCCATGAAACTGGCTGAGAGAGATGCAAATCAAAGGCCTCGATGGTGCAGTGGATGACACGTGAGCCCCCGGAAAGGGTGATCTCGGGTTCTAAGACCATCTGAGGCCCTGTGTTTTGCTTACGTCTCAGCATTATTGAGAATGTGAAACTATATAAAACATAAGTTTTCAGGAAAGAAGTATGTAAAAAATAAGTCTATGGTATAAAGTAATGTTAGGAATTAAGATCTAAAAAACCAAAAAAATAATCTTAACTCTTTTATTTACTGCCTTTTTCGTCTTAGTGGCAGGGTATGTTGCGAAATATAACTCGTATAAAATGCTGAGATATTTGCAAAACTCCGGACCACAGGTGTATGCAGTGCGGAACGAACACGCGCTGTTGTCCTTACCGGGGAGCAGCGCACTTGACCACCACACCATACGATACCTGCGGTCCAGAGTTTTCCAAATATCTCAGCATTTCATACAAAAAAAACAAATCAAAACTAGTAAAAATTCCGGATGTTCGACAAAAATAATTCCGACTATCGTGTCAGCCGGAAAAATGCTTGTCGAGTAGCTAAAATCGCCTGAATTCAGGCGCTTCAACTGTGCACAAAAGGCGCGCCCGTCTGAATGAGTTTTTTGAACTATAGTGACTCTGAGATATTTGCAAAACTCTGGACCGCAGGTGTCTCACCTCATATCCTGCCATGAAAAAAGAATGCATAGTAAATAAAATGTAGTTAAACTGAGTTTTTCATTAATAAAAGAAAACTATGGAAGGTGGTGATCAAAATTTAAGACTAAGTGTTGGCAACAGTGCTAATTTCAAAACATTTCCTTTAAGAAACTACCACATAAAGGAAAACTACTCGAGAAATAAAAAGGATCAATAAAGAAAAATCGATAAAAGCAAATCGTTCGAGAAAAGAATCAATAGCAGAATGTTTACCAGCATTCATAGCGAGACACATTCCAATAACGGCTAGCAAACCACCGACGTAGGTCGGTTGTAGAAACGATGGAATTCGGTTTCGACGATCAGTGATAGCTGCGATACCCATGCAGAGAACAGCTGTGCCGACTATCTGAAGAGTTTTTTTTTATTTTCTCAAAGAATATTTTCTGAGGAAGACGAAGATGTCGAAACCTTAGTCGAATAAATATTTCGTACCAACCCCAAGTTTGCTTAACAATTGAAGAATGTACATGAAGAGTTTTATTCAGTGTTTTCGACTTGTTTTTATTTCATATTAAAAATAATAAAGGGTAAAGCTCTGTGCGTTGATCAATCCCTGAGGAATTGATTATGCATTTGACTTCATTAAACATCGTTTGGCGGTGACTGATTGCATATCTGGCCTTTACAATATGAGCGTGGCCTACCGATGTATCGAATCAATGCTGCTATCCTCCCAGAAAAGTTTGATACCAATTTCCCGACCCCGGTGGCATGGAACGCTTGGTGGGCTATGGGCGCAGGGATCGATTCCATGTGTGTGTTGCAGGACGCCTCCAACCACTGCGCCACAAGCGCCCTATTATTTCATATTACTTCTGTTTATCTATCAAAGGCTATTTAAAAGTATTCTCAGCATACTACATGCTGTATCAAAATTTCCCGTATAAAAACGAATCACAGTTTCCATTATTATCATCAGTTGCTGCACTAACATGATAAAAGAGCAGACGCCCTGTTTAGATGATGATTTAGAATAGCACATTTCGAACATCACAGGTTATATAAGGAGCCTAAAGCTGATTAGTTACGACACTACGTGATACCTCTCCAAATGAACCATAAAGCGCTGAACGCGGACCAAATCCCTGCTAGGTACTTGTTCTGAGACGCAGGTGAATCAGGAGAATGTCTTTGCTACAACCCATTGAGTTATACCTCGCGTACACAAGTAATCATATTCGTTCATGCGTTTACGACATTTTTGAATTTAGATGGGTTGTATGCTAAAAGCTTATTCAGATAAAGAGTTATAATCAAGTGAATGGGAAAAGTAAATAGGATTCCGTCCGTGGCCACTCTCAAGAAATGAACCCACGTTTGAGTCCTACTTTTCTTGAAAAATACCGTAGTAATAACTTAACTGGGTTCATTGCCGTTTTGGGCTTCCTAGATCAATCCCGCTGACGGGTGACTGCTGATGGCACTGATCGATAGAACTAGCTGAGAGACAGACGAAACGAACGACATGTATGGTGTGGTGGTGAACACTCTAGCCCCTGGAAAGGGTAACAGCGAGTTCGTTTCCCGCCGGAGACACCTGTGGTTCGGAGTTTTGCAAATATGTCAGCATCATTGCGGTTCTATCACCGTGGTCATGTTCGCGAAAATCACAAAAGCCACTTCATACGGAAAGCATAACGTTGTTCATGTTCTAAAAATGAAGAAAACCTCCTGAGATGCTTTGCTGCGTTAATAAATAAAATCTTGAAGGATGTGCAGTATATCCGACTTCATCAAGCATCGTTAGAAGTGATTGAATGCATATCTGGCCCATACATTGACTGGCGGTGGGCTACTGATGTGTCAAGTCATCTGTCCACCCAGACAGATACCTAGTATCAATTTGCGACCCCGGAGGAATGGAATGCTCGATGAGCCTAGGGCGCGGGATCGATCTCATGTGTGTTGTAGGGCGTCTCTAACAATTGAGCTACATGCGCCCCCTTTCTGCTTTTTTTTTGGAAACTTTACTGCTTTCGTTCAAACCACACGATTACATATGAAGGTGGTGACTGGGGATGAAAAAAGTGTAAGCAAACTTCCAAAACCTCTTCAAACGGTCGAAATTTTTCCATCTCACGGTTTAAAAAAAGGTGTTTGAGAGCTAAAATGTGGTGTTTTGATGAAGCTTCGTCAGCGAAACGACATTTATGCCTCCGACTTCATCGAAAAAATTAATCCAGAAAAAATCAAGGATTACTACCCAGTTTCACAGCCTATGCCTTCAATGATAATTCTTAGCTCGAAATGCAGTGATCTCGGAGATATTAAGAAAGAGGGAACGACAGTGATATGTTAAGGTCGATCCGTTGTGCGAATAGTAGCTGCTCGAATATCCAAGTAACAAAGTAGGCACGTTTTTCTCCGTACTGTCATTATTGACTATGAAATTTTTCTAGCCATTTATCATGCCTCTTAATCATCTTGCTCAGTCCACAATTTTTTGACTTGTCCGTTACTTGGTGGATTCATAGTACAAAATCGAAAAAAAAACCGAATAAGTTCAATCAGTACAAGATCACTGACTAACCAGTCATTGAACAGGATTTACGAGGAAGTAAACTTGAGTACGATAGTTTCTACGTTAAAAATAATCTAAAAGTTTGAATATCTTATAAAATAGAATTTTTTTGAAAAATTTTTCTTCCAATACAAATTTAATAAGGATCACCATTGTAGAATAATACTTACTTACTTAGATACTTGGATGGCCCGTCCTCACTGTTTATGAGGGCCCATCATAATCTCTATTTTTCGGGGATTTGCTGGCTTAGCCATTGTGGTTCCTTAGAACCCCATGGACAGTCTGGCCAAAGTCTGCAATAGGTGGTCACCACCGCAGGCAGTCGCCGTCCTTGAGGATCAAAGAGAGATTTGCCACCATGCGACTAATTTGATACCAGGACAGTGGTGGATCCTTGTATTGGTTTACTCTTAGCTAGGCTTCCTGATGGAAATGCCGGACTCTCTCTAAGCCTGGGAGAACCTACTGGGGGATGAATTCCCACAGTGTACATCAGTAATGATAATGATACGGAAAACCACGGTGGTAAATAACCACTTCATGTATAGGATGACAAAACCTGATCAATAACGGCGCCAATAGTGCTCAAGTAAGATTGGGGATACGTTGCAAAGATATGCGCTGTTGCACGTGGTCCTGACACGAAACGAGTACCGTTGTCGAAATTGTTGATCGCGTCTGAAAATATTTATAACTATTAGTTATATCCTTAGAAATCTAGTGATCCCCAGTACTGTTAAAGAAAAGATCATCGGCTCCGATGAAAACGAAGACGTCGGAGCGTTAGCCAAATAAAACTATTTTATCAACTTCGTGTAAGCTCAAAAATTTAAACAAGTTGGTTATTTTACTACGGAAGTTGAATTACGGTCGGTTTGCAAGTTGTTTTACTATTAATTGCACAACACAAATATCTACAGTTCAAATATGATACAATACACTTCTTATCCATTCACAACCACGGATCTCACTCATACGAGGGATCTCGAGCCAGTTAGTCGCGAGCCTACGTGGCGCGTTCTTAGGTGGTGATTAGGGGGTTAAACGCGGACCAAAAGCGACTATTGCTTTCCTGAGACGCAGGTGCATCCAGAAGATGGACTCCCTGTTTCTACTCCGCTGATTTGGCACATACTTTCTGTATTTGCTAGGCGTATTCATACATGCGTGTGTAGGTGCGTTCTTGCTTATGCGGATTGTATCCTACGAGTCAATTCGGCCAAAAGTCTGCAATCAAGTGATGGTGAGTGTATGGGAGGCGGCTAGGAGTTGCCTCCAACAAATAAGCTCCATGTCCACTCTGGGAGAGCCTGGCACACTACCCGTGAGTATACCCAGCCCATACGTTCAGAGCCCAAAAAGCTATACGTGAGTTTCAAAAATGCTAAACAAGAGCCTAGAATTTCGCAGCGTATGGTAGGACGAGTACGGAGAGGCTGCTAAAATCTCAGGGTCAATGGAAGCTGCCCAGATCACAAAGAACTATGTTGACGATCTGTACTTACAATGCATTTACACCTGCATCCGAGTCCTCGATAGAAGACATGTTCATGCAAGCAAGAAGGGTAAGGTACGACGTCATCGGCCTGGCCCAGACGAGACGACATCACCCATTAAACTCCATCTGTGACACCGGAGAAGAAATTTTCCTCGGAACATGAGACAGTAGAGGAGTCGACGAGATCGGCGTTCTCGTTAACACGAGTTTGTCCATGAACATCAATACATTCGAACAACACCCGAATCGGACGTTTACGATTGAAGAGATGTGGATCAATTCCGGCTTTGACAACTTTCGTCGCTTACGCGCCGACATCAAACTATGACGAAGTCGAAGCGTTCTATATGGACTTGGAGAAGTTTTACAGAGATTACCATACATTCCTCAAGGTCAATATAAGAGATATCAACGCCAAGATTGGTTCAAGAAAAACGTCTGAAGAACGTCACATTGAGAACCACGGATTAGAATGGAGCGAACAGTGTGAGCAGCTATCTGAGTGTATCATGGCGACCAAGACAATCTATGGTAACTCGCAATTCCAGAAACCCCACCCTAAGCGCTGGACGTGAGAGACTCTCACTGGAGAGTAACATGACGAAATAGACCACATCATAGTAAATAGAAGGTTTTGCCTAACCGATGTCGCTGTTGTCTCAAAATGATACAAAGATCATACCCCACGCTCTCATCGTGCAAGATTTCATTTTTCGCGGGGAGGAAAAAAGCCGTTAAATTCAAAAAAAGAAGCGCGCAAGCCACCATAAACTGGGATTTATTCAATTTATTAATGACCTTTTAAAAAAAGCCGTTGTCGATAACATCGACGAAGAATACGATCGGCTCATTCAACATCTTCACGTTAGCGCTATGAAAGCTGAAAGTTCCAAAGTCACCAAGAGATGTTTGTCTCCAGAAACACTCGAGCTGATACGCCAGCGTGGAATCGCGCAAGCTGCAGGCAACCGCGAAATAACGCCCGAACTTGCAAAACAATGCAGACAGGCAATAAAAGAAGATCTTAAAGAGAGAATAGCAGCAGTAACGGTCGAGGCTACATAAGCTACGAAAAGCATTCGCAAAGCCCACGGAAGTTTCGCCAATTACAAGACCAAGATGTTTGCACTCCGACGACCAGACGGAACAGTTACAGCGTTTAGAAAGGCAATGGAGAAAACCATTCACGAATACTACTCGGATTTCTTCGATAGGCACGTCCACATTCCGTCATATGAAATAAAGGTGGATGGATATGTTGTACCACCGGTTCTCCCATCCGAAATCGGACATGCCATTTCGTCGGTGAAAAATCGAACAGCAAAAGGCCTGGACAGGATAAGACCACAACACCTGGAGAACCTTCTGCCAGTCCTCGTAAACACACTGGCTCGGCTCTTCACACGTTACATGGCTGAATGCAAGGTTTCTACCCAGTTGAAGACCTGCAAGACCGTGCTTTCTTTCAACAATGGTGAGCTACGCGATATCGGCAACTATCGCCCAATCTGCTTACTGTCTGTCGTCTACAAAATTTTCACTCGAGTCATCCTAAACAGGTTTGACAGGACACTGGGCGAAGGATACCCATGTGAGCAAGCAAGGTTTCGAAGAAGATTTAGTATGACGGACCACGTCTACACAATAACAAGGCTCATTGAAGTATCGCGAGAGTACAAAAGACCACTCTGTTTCACTTTCATCGATTTACAGAAGGCCTTTGTTTCAGTTAAGATAGAAGCGGTCTTGGAAGCTCTTGATAATCAAGGAGCCCCTACTCAGTACATAAAGATTCTTCGTGATTTGTACAAAATTTTCACAACCAAGGCATCACCATTCTATAACGATATTAACATCTAAGTCAAAAGAGGAGTTAGGCAAGGCGATACCATGACGCCAAAATTATTTACCGCCTTCCAGAACGTCATACCAACATTGGAATGGGATAATATGGGAGTGAAAATTGATGGTCGGCAGTTACTCGATCTTCGCTTTGCTGATGACATCGTCCTTATAACACCAAACATTAGCCAAGCAAAACGTATGATTGTCGACTTTGATAAAGCCTGTGGAAAGATTGGTGTACGAGTAAATTTCACAAAGCGATGTTCATGAGGAACGGTTTTTTATGCCCCATTCACGCTCAACGGAACGAATATCTCCGAATACTGCAGTTATGTCTATCTAGGTCGGGAAATTAACATGTTGAACGACTTAGCTCCAGAGCTGCGCAGAAGGAAACGGGCGGCTTGGGGAGCTTTCAAGAGCATCGAGGATGTAGTGAAGGGAACAAAGAACACCCGACTCCGTGCCCACCTTTTCGACTCAACGGTACGTCCTGCCCTAACGTATGCGTCAAGATCCTCGTAGCTGCGTAAACAGGATGAACGGTCACTCAGCGTTATCGAACGCGCAGTCGAAAGGAGGATGCGAGAAGTATCCCGTTTCACACAACTAAGGGATGGGATTCGATACTCCGACCTGCGTCAACGTTCAAAAATCAAAGATGCCGTTCTGTACGACAAACAGTCGAAGATAAGATGTGCTGGACACGTAATGCACATGAACGACAACCGATGGACAAGAGCCGTTAGTGACTGGATTCCTCGGGATGTCAAACGTACTGCAGGAAGATCACTGACCCGATAGTCAGAGTTCTTCACAAAGAGCCTTGAAGAAAGATATGATGCTCAACGAGTCCCTAGAGCGAGTAGAACCCACTGGGCTACTCTTTCACGCGACAGGGAAAAATGGAAGATTTACCGGCGCCGGCTCGAGTCACTCCACCATCAACGGAACTACAGGTGACAGGTGACAGGTGATCCATTCACAAGGTCTTCTGAAATACAGTGAAAACAAAACCATAAGTGTATTGCTTGTGTAACTAACTATTCATTTAACGCCTCTATACCTACATTCAGGTACGCGTGTGGAGCAGTGGTAGGAGGTTCCTTGCAACACACAAATGGAATCGATCTCGCGCTCACAGCCCACCAAGCCTTTCATCCCTCTGGGTACGGTAAATTGGTACGAGACTTGTCTGGAAGGATAGCAGCAGTGGCTCGATACATCGGTAGGCAACCGCGAGTCATGGTAAAAGCCACATGTGCATTCAATCACCTCCAAGCGATGCTTAATGAAGTCGAATGCATGGCGCATCCCACAGGGATTAATCAACGCGTAGAGCTTTATCCTCCTTATCCTCTATACACATATTTTTCATTCAAATAAAAAAAATGCGGAAATCATGTTGTATTTGGAAAGTAATGACAGACTCACCGTAATATACAATAAAAGTTGTAAGAGCGCCCAGGAATGCGCCAATATTCTGAGCCAAAACGAACGCCACAAACCTTAACTGGTTTTTTTCAAAATTATTGGCTAATATAATGTTGAGATATTTGCAAAACTCCAGACCGCAGGTGTCTGTGGTGGGGAACGAACGCGCTATTGTCCTTTTCGGGGAGTAACGCGTTCACCATCACACCATGCGGGTCCTTTGTTTCGCCTGTCTCTCAGCTAGTTTTTCTGTCGATCTTTTGCCATAAGCAATCACCAGTCAACGGGATCGATCTAGGGTCCCCAAATTGGCAACGAACCTAGTTAAGCTGAGGCTATAGCTGTAAGTTATTCTATTATTTTTACTTTAATTGTTCCACTATTGGCTAGATTTCTACCAGTGATTGTCGTACAATATCATAAAGTGGCCCAAATACCGTTTTGTGTTAGAATTATTATTGATTGTCACATCTTCCTAAAAATCTAGTGATTCTCACTACTGTTAGGGAGAGGATTCGCGCCACTACTAAATTACTACAAAACATTCATGTAGAGGAGAGTAAACTTTCCTATGCTATATTTTTTTCTTAAATCAACTTAAATCGATCAATTTAGGTGGTGTTTCCCGAGGAATTTAGCTGGGATCATATGTCGTCAGTTGTTCTTCCGTTCAAAAACTGATGCGCCACTAATCATTAAAAAAAAGGTGACAACATCTAGGATTTCGAGCTTGACATACCTAATCACATTAATCTTTCCTTGTGTGAGTTGGAAGAATGTTACTGCTGGATTCAAATGTGCACCTGGAATGGAGTCGTATTTAGCTTATGAATGCCTCATACGACATAATAATAAAGGAAATGCAACATGGCTTGGTGGAGGGAATAAATAGAGCTCAGCGACTGCTTATGAATACGATAGTTCTGAGAATGCTCTATATTAAGTAGAAATAGAACGAGTTACCTGGTTCCATCCTTGTTACCTGTAACCTGTTAAGAGTCAAACACCTTTACTGGGTCCTTATTTAAGTATTCCCTCATCCATTTCTCTCATAACAAATTCCCTCATAACAAAAGCAGCCAGTGATTTCGCTTTTCAAACGAAAATGATGGGCACCACACTTTTATTGCAACGTCTTTTATTTCTAGTATCTTCGGTGAGAAGGTAACCACTACTACCTAGGAAAAAAAGACTCCGCCACAAAGGCTGTGTGTACTTGGAGTAGCTTTTGGGCTTACTTATATGGATGTAAAACACATTTCTAGAAAACGAAGCGAAAACTTGTCCGCAGTGCGACGACCAGATGGCGATGAGAACTGGGGCCGTGGTCTCATTCAGAAGGTAGCATTGAATATTCTAACAGTCAAAAAATATTCTATTTCGCACAGAGCTAAGACAAAACTTTCTACTAAGTTCGGAACTATTATCTTCTTACCTTATGCTTTTCCACAGATTATCTCCTAAACTATTTTGACTTCCACTCTCACAGTCCTTCATCTCGTAATAAAAGCGCTTGCAGTAGTAGCTATACTGATTTCTTTTATGGCTCAGTTCGACTTACTCCTCGAACTGTAATCATCTCGGACGAATCCTAGTCACAAATTGACGTACCCGTTTCCAACCCACAGGAGCAACGGATTGTTCGTGATGAAATCTTGGAAACGTCATTAGACGGTTATTTCGGAATTCCAAACAAACCGCTTTCGATGAACATCCTACATATCACTGAAGGAGAAAGATGGATCCTTAGGAAGAACCCAATTATTTAAACGTCAGCCCTACACTACCTTATGGATAACACGTGTGAGACCGTGGGTGGAAGCAGTGAACAAAGTGCTGATGCTTGCATGACATATCAGGATTGTCTATTAAGGTATCTTAGGAATCTTTTTAATTCTCACGAATTTTCCTTGTTGAGATAACGAGGTTTTCTTTCGTCTCTGGAAGTACTGTTAAAGTAACTACAATAAGTAGAAAAATTTGTGAGTTTATGGATGCATCACTAACCAATAGGCCATTATCAAGTTTCACTTATCGTGTACACTGGGTGCATATTGATTGGAAATTAAGGGATTACTGATTAGTCTCTAACCTGAAACACGAAAGCTCATCTGCACTGCGAACAACAACACAAGACCCCATCCGATTGCGACGGCGATCCATTCGTTCGTTCGTCGCTGTGATAGAACAAATTGCGCATTCACTGAACAGCCACCGAACTGAAAATGAGAAACTTCAACAATTTGCATTTGAAAACTGCCTAAATATTGTTAATTAATGAATTAATCAATATATAAAACTACTTGTGCCGAATTAAAAGCTGGACCTTTCAAAACTGGATTAAGTGTTTGTTCATCGTTGTACCTTGTATTAGCTGCGGTTCCCAGATGGGAATGTCGGAGATCCCAAGTAACTATCATTGTAAACCGACTCACGTCATTCTGTCCGGGAAAAACTCCGATCCGAGAAGATTTTAAGTCACAGTAAACCTGTAAACCAGTAGAGAACGCGGTCTCACTACAGGATCAAGGGATCAGGTTTATTTGAAGAAACAACTCATAAGGTCTGTTGTTCGTACTGAACCGCTGAGAGAAGAGTGGTGGAAGGGGTGGGGATAGGAGGGGCTGGGAGGGGGGAGAAGTTTTGCAAATTAGAATCCTAGAGCTGAGCAACAGTGAGTTTTACGGAAGTTATGCAAAATCTCACGAGTAAAAATCCAGTGCAGAACAATTCGGCAAGTGCAGCGCGGTAGAGTTCGTTGCCGATGTGCAGCTTTTGCCGCAGACGTTCCACTAAATTCATATCCTCCTGAAATCACGAAAACAATTCAGACCTTCGCCAATCGTTTTAGAACTCTGTTTAGCCAAAGAATGAACTTCATAGTTGGGAAAAGGTTGTGAGCACATTGTTCTTGTCTGTCGTGAGAGACAGCGAACAAACTCCAACTGATATCCGATAACAGACGGATTTTCGACATGTACGGGGTTCATCGGCGTTTTTCAAAGAAATTGGCGTTTGTATACAAAAGAGTTGGATAAAAATACATCTATTGTAAGAAACTATGATGACCGTGGAAGGTGGTAAGCGAATGACGACTGACGATGCTTGAGATTGACGATTGCTAAAGTTTGAGGAAAGAAATGAGAAATAGGTAATGGCCAGGGAAAACAGCGAAAAAATAGATAAATAATCGAGAACTAGAGTTTATACAACCAATAACTGTCGCGAACTAGCAATCAACTACTAACACTTTAATGTGGTACGAAAAAAATTATTGAACTGTTTGAAGGTTATAGATAAATATTGGATACTAAGGAATGATAGCTGCTCAAAAATTTCTATAGACGTGAAGACGTTGAAAGATAAATTATAGAAAAAGTAAAAAAGAAAACAAAAAAACTGAAGAATAGAAGTGAACAAGTGAAAAAGGCAGTTAAAAAGAATGTCTACCAGATGAAATTCTTCGAAGGAAAACCGTTCAGAAACTTCATTTCACAAGTTACGTCGTCATTTTTTCCTTCCATCCTAAGAACCGATTATGACAAATATATTGAACTTTCATACTTCTACTCAATGTTTGCACAATTTTACTACTATGCATATTTTCTCTGTTTAAAAGAAATCATTCATACAAAACCACAGCCAGTCGCAGCCCTTATGGATCAGAGGGAGATTTGCCACCATGCGACTAGCTTGGCACCAGGATGGCGATGGATCCTGCTATTGGTTTACTCTTAGCTAGACTTCCTGATGGAAACGTCGGACACCTTCTCAGCTTGGCACATCCTGCCAGGGAGATGAATCCCCCGCTATACATCTCAGCCCGACACCCAGGAAGATCTCCGAGCCACGACGAGGCGGTAAACCGTTAGGAGGACTGAAGAAGTATGAAATGTGTCAGAATGAGAACGTTCGAGGATGCCATTTGGTGCTCTTGACGACGAGCAATTGTAGACGTCAACTGAAGATTATTTAAAGCGTTTCTAGAGCTAACAGAAAAATGGAATAAGCCCAGGAAGCTTTGCGTTACATGTTGTATTGACCTTAAAGCTCTACAGAAAGCAAAGAAATAAGTGCCAAATGGACCCCAAAAAACCATGGTTACCGTTGCATTACTGCGATTGTGGAAAATCTGTTCAAGTTCTCTTTCTAACAAAGCGACTCATCTTTTCGACATACTTATTCTGATTTGTCACGACTTGAAACAAATCACCTACCGAAATTAATGACGTTGTATAGAATGTGGTTCAACAAAGGTGTAGTACTTGAACACCATCTGGAAGTAAATTGGCATCACAAGAACAAGATGACAACGTTTTGGCCTTCGAGCATGTGATTACCTGCTATGTGACTTCCTTAACCATGCAGGAAACCATTGTTGCAACAGCGAACTGTTTTCAATCTGTGTTGATCATTCCAGTAGAACCAGTTCCACTGCATAACGACAATGAAACTCACATTAACCAGAAGACAGTGTGAAAGTAGTAGGAAGTAGTATATAAATCTCTACCTCATCCAGTATACTCATTGAACCTCACACCACCGATTCCTATTTCATCGGAGGTAGCACATCGACGGCAAAATGAGGGAAAAATCCCCATCAACAAAGTAACTGTGTAAATCTCTAGAAAACATCCGTGCTATCAAGAAGGTTAGAATTTTGCCACTGCAAAGCAACTAAATTTGATCTCAATGACACAAAAATGTGCGCTTCGAGGGCTTTTAACACTAATGATAAATATCTCTATCTACATATCTATCGATATATCTATCAACCTCGTGTAAGCTCATCAAAGAAGGAATATATATTGATTAGTCACCCCGAGGTTAAAGGAAAGTCGGTTTCGAAATATTACTATCCTTTGTACTAGCTAATAATAACACCGACTTCTGCAGGGTTGACTGTCAGGAAGAAAAACAAGTTGTTATCACCGGACATTATCATTATATTTTTCCACCATCAGCATTCTGCATAAAAGGGCAACAATCGAGACGAATAACAACCGTGGACCATCGATTTGAATCGTCGACTCTGATGAAGACGAAGACGTCGAAACGATAGCCGAAAATAAATAAATATATATATATATATATATATAAATCAACCCCGGGTAAGCTCACCAAAAAAGGAATGCTAATGGTAAAGTTTGTTATAGGTTATTGGCAATTGAAATAGGTGACCAAAGAACTCAGCAGCTCCCGGCCAATCTAACACTCATTTGATGAACGTATTGAACTACAGAAAAATCATTATTTGACCTTATTTTAAGATAAAGCAACCACAGGAACGACGAGTGAAAAAGAAGATAAGGTGGACCGATCCACTGAAAAACACCGCTTAACTTCATAGCGGACCCACACTTTGTTTAGTGGCAGTGCTAAAGTTTTTCAACGATGTGTCGTATACGCTCATAAACTGCTGTTGAAACGAGAACAATTTACCAGGGCAGCAAAATGGCTACCTCGAGTTTTTAGACGAAAGTGACACACTAAGAACCTTCGCAGATCATCTACGAACGGAAGTTATCTCTGAACGAGTTTGCTGCCGCCGATATCACTAGTCCTCGCAACGGTTTACCGCCTCATCGTGGCTGGGAGACGTTCCTGGGTGTCGGACTGCGATGTACAGCGGGAGATTGTCACTCTATACATGAAGTGGTTATTCATCACAGTGGATTTTTATATCGTTATCGTTACTATTCTACCTCTCAGCGGTTTACCGTGGCTGGGAGGTGTTCCAAGGTGTCGGGCTGCGATGTAGACTGTGGGAATTCAACCCAGCGGCAGGACCTCCCAAGCTGAGAACGAGTCCGGAGTTTCCATCAGGAAGCCTAGCTAAGAGTAAACCAATACCAGGATCCGCCACCGTCCTGGTATCGAAGTCGCATGGTGGCGAATCTCCCTCTGAACCACAAGGGCTGCGACTGCCCGTGGTGGTGAAGATCTGGAGCAGACTTTGGCTAGGCTGACCTCGCGATTCCAAGGAACCACAATGGCTCAACCAGCAAGTCTCCGAAAAGTGATGATTATGCTAGAGTCCGCACAGCCAGTGGGGGTCGGCCGTTCAAGTATCAAGTATCAAGATATCAGTTGTTAAAAATGATGGTCAACGATGTCGTGTTCAACAAGAAGTACAACGCGATAATTAGCTGATGTCGCTGTTGATTAACAGTTGGCGAACCTCATAAACGAACACATTCCCACGAAATAGTAGTTTTATTTCGTTGTTATAGGGAAGGATCAATTAAATCCGGTGACAACACGTAAGAAAAACGGCTAGAAAGATTGCTTGCTAACAAACGTCTTGATCTTTCTATTCCTTTACACCTATCACCAGGGGGAAAGTAGCACAATGGTAACGATTTCGATCATCATGTGCACGGTGCCGGCTTGAGCCGCTTATCGATTCCAGGTCAGGAAATTCGTGCCACACTTGCCTAGGAAAAGCTCACTCCCTGAAATCCAAGTGAGAACGCTCTAGCCTGAATGTTTCAGGAATGCAGGATGAATCTAACTAATTAGCATTAAACGACATTCATGACGAATGGAGAATCCTAAAGTAGCAATCGAACCCACGCATGACAGTTGTAAGGCTTTTCTGGATGATGGATGCGACGAAACGAATCGAATACAAGAAGTGCTGGGAATCGTAGAGCAACTGTGAAAGACGATTTGCGTGCACAAATACGTGCATCTATTACCACTATACTTAACGAAGCCTATAAAATCTTATGACGATCAGGATTACTTGATCTGTAAGGAATAAAAAGTCTAAGCGGTCACAGTTGATCCCAAAGAAGGTCGCTTACTTCAATCGCAGCATCGTAAGGATGACCCAGTGCATATTTATGTGATATACTTAGTTCGATACTTGAATGGCCCGTCATCACTGGTGTGTGGCCCTCAGGATAACTTCTAGTTTTTCGTTTTTCCAGGTCTACCCATTGTGATTCCCTGGAGTTCCGAGGCCAGCTTAGCCAAAGTCTACTCCAGGTCGCCTCCTCTAGCCGAGGAACACCTACCATTCACAATGAGGCGGTAGACAATTAGGCGGATTCATGCGATAGATAAAGCATATATAATAACTTTCGGCTACCTATCGATATATCAATTTAGAGTTTTCTATCCCATCAGGAATGGCTGACAACCATTTGTGGACTCCGGACAGAAAGAGGACTCGGATGGCCGCGGGCGCGGAAACGAACCAGTGAACACTCGCATTAGAGCACCGGTTACTGTGTCACAGGTTATCTTAGTTTGATCCATAGGATAGCAGTATTTAGCAGATATTATGCAAAAACATAACCCTTCTAAAGTGCTCTAACTAACAGTTTTGAGTAGAAGTATCAACAAAATTTCTGTGGACGAATCAAACATATCTTCCTTCCAATAAACATGTTTCTAATATGGAAGGTATAAAAACAAAGCGAAAAAAAATAGAAACACACCAAAGAATTTCGATCAACAAAAATATTACTGTTCATAAAATGATTTAGGAATGTTCATAAAGAAGTTAGTGAAATTTTCACCAAGTACAAAATAAAATGAAAGCAATGAGCTAAGCTTTTTGCACTGGTTTTGAATTTGAAGCCAAACAAATGATAGAAGTAGAAAGAGTGACGGCTTAAAACTGAACAACTGATCCTCCGGCAAAAGACAAAACCGGAAAAATGTCTTTCGGAAGAAAAGAATACTAGGATACTTGGAAGGCTACTGGAAGGGTACTCACTGGTTGTGCGGGCCAGAGCACAATCACCATTTTTCGGGGTTTTGCTTGTTTAGCCATGGTGTTTCTCTGAAGT